TTTTCATCTTATATTTTGGTATTTCAGTTTGTAGCGTGTCAATAGCGTGCGTCCAAACAGGAAATAGTACAACTTGACTCGGTCAAAACAATGAGATGCTTGCCGCAGAAGGGTCAAAGTACCCCCAGAAGCATGTTCTGACGTGTATTTGGCAGTAAATACGGTAAGCATAGTTGCAAGAAAATTGAAAAAATTGCGAAAATTGAATCTTTCAGAAATTCAGGTTTTGCAAATATTTTCCCATATAAGCCAATATAGGGCATTACATTGGAAAGGTTTTCTGGTTCTATCTAATACGAGAGCTGTATCTGAATGTTGGGCTTTGTAGGTAATCCAAGTGAGCATGTATAATAATTAATTTACTCGTACTCGCTTCACTTGGTAAGTACTAAAGTACTGCTAAGTTTCTACTAGCGTGGAATATTAAAGCTGAAACTTGAGAAAAAAGTAAATTCACAATAATTTACTAAAATGTGGAAGTTTTTTTCAAAAAACTGACATAACTCTCTTCATTGCCACAATCGTGAACGCAGTGAGTTATACTAAAAAATGATAACTCTCTAACATTTTCATAATGTTAACGAGAGAGAGTTACGTCAAACATAACTGTCTCATGTTAGTTCAAGGAAACATCGGGAGAGTTAAGAAATTAGGTGTGGTCGTTGGGAAAAGTGGACGTGGTTCGAACATAACTCTCCGAAATCATAACTCTCCGAGATAACTCTCCACTTCATAACTCTCCGTTTAGCCGTACGTCTCAAACAATTTACTGCTGTATGGTGTAAAATTTAAATAAAGTTATTTTTATTAATTTTGAAATTGGGTATTTTTGTATTCAATGGAGGCTATTCTTTAAAGAATGACTGACCCCATTTTTGATTTTCAGGTAATCATCTATTTAGAAATTATGATGATATATTTAGGGGGGAACATCCCTTTTGCGCGGTGTTTATAAATGCTAAGGTGATGACAATGTAAGGTGTATGGGCAAATATAAAGATTTTGAGCATCTCACTTGATACAACAAATTGCTGAAGATATTTGTAGATTTTATATACAATTATCAGACCAAACCAGGTGCAGTTGCAAAAAATGCAACTTTAGGCCCCTCTGGCAGGAATTGAACCTGCACAAACCCTTAACATTTGGCAAGATTACCAACAACGCAAACTTAAAGCAAGAAATTGGTAGCCATTTCAATAGATATAATCAATTTTATTATATAAACATAAGTGTTATATAGAGTTTTTGGCCACTGAGAAAAATCGTATTTAAACACACGTAAAAAATACGATATTTTTACGTGTGAAAATATCATTTGTTGTAAAACGCATTGCCACGGACGATTTATTGTTTTTCACTGAATTTTGTTTATATAATAA